CCCCCTCTGCTGCTCTGGGACCAGCCGCCACTACTCGCTGATGTAGTGTATTTTTAAAAAGTGCCAGATTTTCGAGAATTCAGAATTTTTGATATCCAGATTTATGAGGTTATACTGTATTATTAAAATGCCTTAATTTTAATCATTTCTGTATAAAGTAGAGAAAAGTACACCTATATCCTCTGAACAACTTCCAACACTTATGGCACTGACTCTCCTAAAATAATAAAATATATAATTATAACAAAGTAAATATTTAACAAATAATGCAAAAGAGCTTTAAAATTAGAAACCTTGCACCCGTTCCTCAGCTAGTGTAAGTTGGCATCATTTCATTGGGACTGTCAATTTCCACCCTCTGAAAAGCTGTCCCATTGTTCCTAATATTTCTAAATATTTTGGTCCACCTTCTTAGTGAGTGTTGATCATTTTGGCTCTGTTAAAGTATAGGAAGCTCTGTTGACCTTCACTTTCTGGTGAGCCGGTCCCAAATTATAAGAGTTCAGTGTTAAACAATTATGAAAGTATGCCCTTCTTAATCTCTATAAGCCTGATTTTGACCACATAAAGATTTTACACCAGTAACCCTAATTATCTCATTTGGAATTGTTCTTAGTTTGCATGGATTTTACTGAAATCAGAATTGTAATCTTTACCATCTTAATCTAGGCTGAATTCTGCTTTGCTCATCATTGCAAAGTAGGAATAACTCCACTGAAAACAAAGGGGATGACATTCAACTTGTAGGAAACTGGAATAGGATGGTAGTGAATCAGACAGTCATTAGTTATTCTGGTGTACATAAAAGGATATTTATGAGTATTGATTTTGATCTCCCCATGGAGAAAACTCTAATGGAGTCTCCATTCAAGTGAATGGACTTGCACTGTTTTGCAACTAGTCTAAGTGAAATTCAAAGTCTTTGGGTGCCTATAGGGGTACTTGTTCACGTTCTAATTAGAGTCTGATTCACATTCTAATTAGAGTTAGAGTAGACGCTACTTAGACTCTAATTGAATCTGCCCTGCATTCTAATTAGAACACTCCAGCATGGCCTCATTATCATGTGTATAAGCCCGACAGGCATGTCCAAACGAGCCTGCACGTACCTCTTGCCGCATCTCAAAGCAGTTTGAGACATGGCAGTAGACACACTGAGAACCAAACAATGTTCAGCGCAGGCTCAAAATTTGATACCTGAATATCCAAATATCAAACCCCGCCTCTCCCTTGCCCCAGAACAAACTGGGCAGGGCACTGTCCAGGACTATGACCTGAGGCAACAGGAGGCTCAGGTCCTCCAAAGAGATGCTCTGGTAGCCTGAAAGAGCATTTCTATTCCTGTCCCTTGCCCTGATGCTGCAGCATACTGCCTGCCTGTTCAGGTCAAACAGTAATGTAGGCTGCAGCGACCTGGACTGGGCTCCATTCCAGGTAAGTAGGGGACTGTGGAGGAGGGGCATCTTGGGAGGGGTGAGTCACCCCCCCACTCCCCCTGCAGGGCCCACATTCCCCTCCCCCCCCTCTGCACGGCCCACAGCTCACCCACAGCAGCAGCGGCCATTGAGGTGCTCAGGGCCTCCTGGCACAGCCCTCCCAAGCAACATA